TTTTTTTTTTTTTTTTGCGGTACGTGGGCCTCTCACTGTTGGGGCCTCTCCCGTTGCGGAGCACGGGCTCCGGACGCGCAGGCTCAGCGGCCATGGCTCACGGGCCCAGCCGCTCCGCGGCATGTGGGATCTTCCCGGACCGGGGCACGAACTCGCGTCCCTTGCATCGGCAGGCGGACTCTCAACCACTGCGCCACCAGGGAAGCCCCTAACATGTTTTTTTTTTTAATTGCTATTCACATGTGGCTTTTTTCATTCAACATTATGTTTGTGAAATCTATCCACATTGTTGCGTGTAGCACTACAGTGGTCCCTCTGCATCGGTGAAGGATTGGCTCCAGGACCCCCGCGGATACCAAAACACGCGGATACCAAAACACGCGGATGCACGAGTTCCTTACATAGATGTGTGTACTACAGTCGGCCCTCGGCATCCGTGAGTTCTGCCAACCGCGGACAGATTTTTCTGCCCTCTGTATGTAGTTCATTCTTTTTCATTGCTTCAGAGTAATCCATTCTATGAATATACCAATTTATTAGTCCTTTCTACTTTTGATGGACATTTTGGTTGTAGTTTTTAGCTATTTGAAATAATGCTGCTATAACCATTCGCATATATGTCTTTTTGGTATACATTTTGTATGGCATTTGGAGGATACATCAAAAATCTTTAAGATGTACTCAGAATTTATGCCAAGGAAAAAGTTAAAGAGTTAAAAGATTTAGCTATGCAGATGTTCTTTGTAGCATTTAAAAATAAATGCAAAAAAATGTAAGTTATACTAAATTTTTAAAAACAGGACATTGGTTAAATAAATTGGGGCATATCTATGTAACAGAATATTATATTAAAATTATGGCATAGAGTATATTTACTGCTAAGGAAAGATTTGCATGGCATCCTAGGTGGAAAAAAATCTGATTATAAGAGAATATATCAGCATGAGACCACTTTTGTGGAAAAAATTTATATGTCAATGTATATTTCAAAGGATCATACCAAAAGTTTAACAGTGATATCTTTAGGAAATGCAATGATGGCTGATTTTTTTTCCGTTTCGCTGTATTTTTCCAATTTTCTAAATTCTTGTTCTTAAGTATGGCCATGGATTTACCCCTGTATTACACTGTATTCTCAGTGCACAGCATACTATTTGGCATAGAGTAGTTCTAGATAAATGCATATTTGACTCTGAAAAAATATAAATTGTCACAAAATCAAGAAGGTAGAAACAATTCAATTAATTTTATTCAATTTTGAAAGGCCGAGATAATTGCCATGGGAGACACTGAGGTATAATTGACCATATATTTGGTCTTTGAGTGCCACAAAACAGCACAAATTCAGTAGCAGGGCTCTCTGCTGGTCACCATTGTGACCCTTTGCCCTCATAGCAGGTCATCCACATCCTTTACCAATGACCTGGTGATCAGCTCTAAAGAGGGCCAGTATCTGGATGCACTAAATGCCCACTTTCTATCAGAGACTGTTAACCTAAAACGAAGACTCAAGAGCCAAGTCCTAGAATGTGCTAACACTTTAGCCATTGATTGTTCTGTGTCCACATTACCACAATTTTAAAGATTTCAGGCATCACAATGCACTTTTTTAAAAGTTTGCTTTTTTTAAAAAAATAGATCTTTATTGCTTCACAATACTGTGTTAGTTTCTGTTGTACAACGAAGTCAATCAGCCATATGCATACATACATCCCCTCCCTCTTGAGCCTCTATCCCATGACTCTAAGTCATTGCAAAGCACCTAGCTGATCTCCCTGTGCTATGCTGCTGCCTCCCACTAGCTATTTTACATTTGGTAGTGTATATATGTCAATGCTACTCTCACTTTGCCCCAGCTTCCCCTCCCCACTGTGTCCTCAAATCCATTCTCTATGTCTACTTCTTTATTCCTGCCCTGCCACTAGGTTCATCAGTACCATTTTTTTTTTAGATTACATATATGTGCGTTAGCATACGGTATTTGTTTCTCTCTTTCTGACTTACCTCACTCTGTATGACAGACTCTAGGTCCATCCACCTCAGTACAAATAATTCAATTTCGTTTCTTTTTATGGCTGAGTAATAGTCCATCGACAGATGAATGGATAAAGAAGATGTGGCACATATATACAATGGAATATTATTCAGCCATAAAAAGTTTGCTTTTTAAAAAATGCAACCCATTGCTTGTTTTCATCCTTCTCAGAAAACCAAACAGCATTTCCCCCCTTCATGTTGCAAATAGGAGGGGGTCATAAGTCAGATTTAGGCAGAACAACCAGGCCTCCTCTGACCAAAGCATCTCTCCTCTCCAGCTCCCCCTGGCGTCCTCTTCGCCTTCTGTCGTGGACTGAAATCCTCACCATTAGAATCCCTCCTCCCCCCGCAGCCCCTTCTCATTAGTACATCAGAAGGTGGTCCCAGGGGCCTACACGGATTCTGTAGGTGGTTACCGAGGGGCAGGCAGTATTGCGGGTTGTGTGGGGCTTAGAGCCAGGGGAGAGCTGACTAGTGGGAGAAGGCTTTCAAGTCACACTTACTTATCCTTAAGGAGGAGGAGGCATTTCGTTCCTTTTAGGCAAAACCCATCCCGTTCTTTGAGGCTTGGAGTGAGAATGTGACTAAGACTTTTGGGGAGGAGGAGGTCTCTGGGTCCCCAGTGCTTCGCTCATGCCAGCGTCCCAAGCTGCCTTGCAGGTGCTACCTGGGGTCTCACTCTCCCTGTTTGCACTACGTGTCCCTGGGGTTCCTAAACCGCCCAACCCAGACGTGCTCTGGGTCTCACCATTGAATCCGATCACGGCCTCAAGCTCCAGCTCGGCCACCTCAGCCACCTCATCCTTGGGCGAAGTTTGGGTCTCCATCACCCGGAGACTCCGCTCACGTTACTCTCAGCCTCCAGAGGTGCAGCGTCTTCCGGTCGTTGTGGTAACGGACTTGCGCATGCGCGCCAGATCAACGCCTGCGCTGAAACCCAGCCGAAGGAGTTCGAGTCCTTTTGCTCTCTTGCAAACGGAAAGAGCCGTTCTTTCTACCTTCTAGTATTTCTCTGGAAATTTAAGGGGCACTAAATGCACAGAACTAATTCCCTCCTGTCCCATGTAAAGAGTGTGTGACCTTTGGGGTAACTATATAATTAAGCTCCTAATGGCATTTAAGAATTGAAGAATTGCCTCTGATGGGAAGGCTGCTATAAGACAATATATAATTGATACTTCTTTGGGTCCCATGTTTGAAGCAGGACAAAAAGGTTTTTTAAACTATACTGAGGTATAAATTATATAGAGAATTTACTTAAAGTGGGCTTTAGTAAATTTATATAGTTGTGCAACTATCACCACAATCCATTGTTTGTTTGTTTGTTTGTTTTTGTTTTAAGCAGGATAAAATGTTAAGTAACTGCTAGAGGTCTTGAGGGGCTCCCACCTACCTGGGAAAAATGCTTAGATTTTGTTCAAAAACAATTTTATTTTAATTGCACCCAACTGTTCGCGTCTCTTAGTGGGACCCGATTGCTCCAACCTACAGTTCCCCGGGGGAGCGCTTTCCTTTCTTCATCACAGTTTGGAGGCCTTGGGGTACGTATATTCACTGTGCAAACTTCAGGTTCCGGTCGCGCACGGGTCGAGCCGCGGGGTGTGAGCCGCGCGGGCCGCCGTAGTCAGCTGTTGCGAGCAGGAAGTGTCCGAGGAGTGGGTGGAGACTGCACCATGGCCCCGGACCCCTGGTGAGCCCGGGGAGGGGGAGGCTGCACGCGGACCGTCCCGGGGGAGGCCGTGCTGCTGGGGAACGGGCGGTCGCTAGGCATTAGGGCTGGAGGCCTTTCGGGATGAGGGGAGGGGAGCAAGGCCCCTTCCCCTGCTGCCGGGGACGGGGTTTGAGGGGCTGGGCTCTGCCGCATCCCGACACCCTCGGTCTTGACAGGGGTGGCCGGGGCGGGAGACGCGGCGGACCTCTGAGGAGCTGAGTTCCAGTGCCGAATCTCTGAGCATTCCTTTAGCCCTTCTTGGCTGCATCTCCCGGATTCCCGCCCATCGTGGTTGTGGAGATGGCTGATGCAGGCTTCCCTGGACTCCTGCGAAAGTGAAGTCCGAGTGACCTTTTTGTGGAACGCCAGTGTATCTGGTGAACCTTCTCATTTCCCAGGTGGAGAAACCGAGGTTCAGAATTCATGGTCATCAGCGAGTTAGTAACCAGTTGGCGCTAGCATCTAGATCTTGTGGGCCCTTCAAAAAACTTAGAGGAATCTGGGAGGGAAATTATGCCGTTGATAAGGTATTTTAGTACCACGAAGACTTTCTATGGCAGCAACTTCTGCAGTAAAACAATAGGTGATAAGGGCCTTTTATTCAACAGTTAAGTCCCAAGGACTGACTGGATGATGAAAGACACAAGTTCTGATACGAGGAACCTATTCCTATAGTGTATTGGACTTGAGCTTTTTGCTTACTAATTTAAAATGCTATAGCTCAACACGGTTCTTTTGGAGAATATGTCATATTAGTAACTTGTAACATAGTTTATTGTTTAAGTTGCAGATAGTCTGGATATTAAGAGATTAACTTTGAAAAATCAAAGTTAATCTACCTGGGATCTAGATTATCTGGGCCAATGGCTTAATTAACACTAATTTTTTTTCACCTTATTTTAACACCCCGATAGAAAATTTAGAAAATATTGAAAATTTGCAAAGGAAAAAACCCCCATCTTTAACTCTTATCATTTGGAATAATTGCCACTGTTGATTTTTTTAAATTAATTAATTAATTTTTGGCCGCGCTCTGTCTTTTTTGCTGCGCGTGGGCTTTTCTCTGGTTGTGGCGAGCGGGGGCTACTCGCGGGCTTCTCACTGCGGTGGCTTCTCTTGTTGCAGAGCACGGGCTCTAGGCACGGTCTTCAGTAGTTGTGGCTCGTGGGCCCTAGAGCGCAGGCTTAGTAGTTGCGGTGCACGGGCTTAGCTGCTCCGCGGCATTTGGGATCTTCCCGGACCAGGGCTCGAACCCGTGTCTCCTGCATTGACAGGCGGATTCTCAACCACTGCGTCACCAGGGAAGCCTGGCACTGTTGATTTTTAAAATGAATTCATTACTTTGTATAATATATGTGTGTGTGTCTATATATATGTGTGTATACATATACACACACCCCTGTATATTTTACAAAACAGGGAACATTCCTCCATATCATTAAATATTCACTGAAAACACAATTTTTTTTTTTTTTTTTTTGCGGTACACGGGCCTCTCACTGTTGTGGCCTCTCCGGTTGCAGAGCACAGGCTCCGGACGTGCAGGCTCAGTGGCCATGGCTCATGGGCCCAGCCGCTCCGCGGCATGTGGGATCTTCCCGGACCGGGGCACGAACCTGTGTCCCCTGCATCGGCAGGCGGACTCCCAACCACTGCGCCACCAGGGAAGCCCTGAAGACACAATTTTAATGGTGCTTAATAGTGCATCATATGAATGACCTTGATGCACTATGATTTAATCATTCCCCTCTTTGTACCCTTTAAAAAATGTGAGGGATTTTTTGGGTTTTATTTTTTTTAATTACAAAGACTGCCCTTTTGTTCCATCTCTTATTTCCTTGGCTCACTCCCTAGAAGTGGAACTACTGGGTCCAAGGGCTAAGTTGCCCTCCACTTCCTGGAAGCTAACTCCCTCATTTTACACATAAGGTAGGAAATAAAGCTTAGAAATAAGGTAGAGGCCCCAGGGTATCCATTTAGGTTGGTAGAAGCTATCACTGAACCCTGGGCCTCTTCCACAGTTAATGTTGAAAAAGCACTGATAAGTTTTCCTGTTCCTCTCAAGTAGTTTGACTCAGCAGCTTTCTCATTTGTTGAAAGTGAAACAATGAGGGACTGTGCTGTGCTAGGTCAGCTTCCTTGCAAAGTAGGTTGCTGCTCACGGGAGCAGAAAGGAGTATGGAATAGGACTTTGAAAAATCTACAAAACAGACTTGACTACAGCTTTGCTCTCCTGCTATTGAAATAGCATAGCTCAGCGATGCTTTACTCCTGAGTAGCGTTCTACTGTTTAGAAATGGAATATGGCTGTCACTCTCTTAATGGCATATCAAAGCCAGTGGTAAGCTCACTGTGTAATAGAAACAGCCGGTGGTGACTGTCTCTGAGTGGGTTCTTTGCTAAAGTTAATCAGCTTTACCACTTTTTTCTCTCTGTTCCAGTTCCACAGCCTCTGTCATGGCATCACCATCCTCTTAGGCCTAAAAACTCTAATCATCATCTACTTTTTCCTCACTCTTCCTATCAGATTGTTCACTCATCTCCAGTATTTTTTTTTCTTTTCTTTTCTGCCGTAGCCCAATCCTTTATAGCCTTATGGCTTACAGAGAGTAAATATTGGTGGCTGGTTACTGCGTTGAATGGCTGGAGAAGTCTTCTACTGGTCTCTTGCCACTCTCCTCTCATCCCCCCAGTGATTTATGTAGGTGGAGTTCAGGTTACTTTTCCTAAACTAGTATTTTAGGTACCTGTGTGCTTGATTCCATCATGAGGTTGCCCATTACAGCTAGGCCAGCGGTTCGCAAGCTTTGCTACAGATTGAAATCACCTGGGGAACTTTACAACTCCTCACGTCCAGGTCAAACCCCGTGCCAATTCAATCAGAATGATGCCTGGGGTAGGAGCCAGGATTTTTTTTTTTTTTTTTTTTTTAGATCTTCTCTGGTGATTCAACTGTGTAGCAAAGCTTCAGAAATGCTCTTTAGAGCTCAAATGAAAGCGTGAGGATGATGAGGAAGACATCTGGGGTTTGGGCATCAGCGTTTCGTGTAACCTCTTCCAGGCCTCACTCTATGTGTACAAGTGTCCCCTGCACCTCTCAAATTCTCTGCTAAAAGTCAAAGCTTGTCCTGCTGTTCAAGGCTCTGCAGAAACTAGCTTCGACTCATCAATACCATTTTATACTTTACCCTCCTACCCAGGACCACCACTCAGCCGACCGTGCCAGGCTCCTACCCTCCCTTTCATCTTTGCTTGTTCCCTGTGCCTCTCACCTCGTCTAGAATGTGCTCCTCCCTCTTGTGGGAGTGAGAGGCCTGCTTTAACCTTGTGGTTCAGCCCAAGGTGTAACCTCTTGGCCCAACCTTATCAGATCTGTCTCGGCCAACAGTAATTTCTCTCATTTCCGAACTCCGGAAATATGCACTCGCCATTTATACTCCACGTTTGGCAGGAGGTGTGTTGTACCTTGTTATTGATTTTCACACGTGTGGTCTGGGACCACAGAGCCAGACCTCAGAACCTCTTTTCATAGATGACAACATGCAGGGAAAAAGAGGAAAATGTGGCAAAGCTGGGACCAGGACCCAGTTTTTCTTATCAGCCTCCCTCCTACTTCCTTTTTCTTTCTTTCTTTCTTTTTTTTTTTTTAAAATATTTATGTATTTACTTTTGGCTGCCTCAGGTCTTAGTTGTTGGCCCACGGGCTTAGCTTCCCCACGGCATGTGGGATCTTAATTTCCTGACCAGGGGTCACCCCTGCATCCCCTGCGTTGGAAGGCGGATTCTCAACCACTGGACCACCAGGGAAGTCTCCCCTCCTACTTTCTTAATTGTGTATTGTCTTATATCACCTGCTGTCTTTTGGGATGCATGAATAGATGTATATGAATGATGCTACTTTAGATTATAGCGGTGAGTTGCCAAGGATCCTACTGTTAGCGAACCAAACTTGGGTTGACTCGCCTGCATGCAGCAAAGCCAATCTACTGATACAATGTTGCGGTGAAGGAAAGTGCAGCGTTTATCGCAGAGCACCAAGCAGGGAGTCTAGTGCTAGTGCTTAAAACATCTGAATTCCCTGACGGCCTTCAGGGAAAGGTTTTTAAAGACAGGGTGAGGGGGCTTCCCTGGTGGCGCAGTGGTTGAGAGTCCGCCTGCCGATGCAGGGGACAGGGGTTCGTGCCCCGGTCCGGGAAGATCCTACATGCCGCGGAGCGGCTGGGCCCGTGAGCCATGGCCGCTGAGCCTGCGCGTCCGGAGCCTGTGGGACGGGAGAGGCCACAACAGTGAGAGGCCCGCGTACCGCAAAAAAAAAAAAAAGGGTGAGGGAGGGGCGTTGTGGGGTCGTGATCAGCTCGTGGACACTCTTCTGATTGGTTGGTGGAGGGGTAATTGGGAGTCACTTTCTGGTTCCCGTTGGTCTGGGGTCTACGTGCCTTTTGGGCGGCATACAGTTGCTTCTCCCACCCGGCGGGGGTTTCGGTATCTGAAAAGCAGCTCAAAGGACACGGCTCAGAATATTATCTACAGCCCTTGAGGAGTAACCAAAGGTCCTTGACTTTAATGGCTAAACTATTATTATTTTGTTTTGCTTGACTGTTTTCCTGCTTCTCACTTCTCTGATTAAATTTACTCTTTGGAACTCAGGGAAGCCCTAGGAGACTAAAGCTTTTCCATAGACGAGAGGCAGGAGGAGGACAAGGGGATGGGGATCTGTTCCAGGAAGGCCCCAAAGGGTTCTGCTCAGTTACACTACCTCATCGGATCCTTATTAAATTTAAAATGTACAGCTCTTAGCATAGGACCTGGCCCAGATCAGGTACTCAGTTGTTAGCCGTAGCTGTAATCACTGTAGTAAGACTCCTAAGGGAAACGACTGGAGATTGTTTATTTTTCCTTCATTCAAAGACATTTGCCAGGTCGCCTCATTGTTCAAGTGATATGTGGGAATTCAGAGATTTTAAGAAATGGATTGCTTATTTTTTCAGACAAAAATTGGAACATTAGGTTAAACAGATTTTAATATTTTTTTGAAACTTAAAAATATTTATTAATTCATTTATAACAATAATCAACCTATTACATGTCAGTATAAATCATGTTTTTAACAGAAGATATCTATATTTTACAAAACAAGAGAAAATAAGTGACAAGAGTGGCATTGTTTTACATTAAGTTCTTTTTACATAAATTTACATAACATTTTTTTTATTCAAACAGAAAGTCACAAAAATTATAATCATCCTCATCAGTTCACTCAGTCCCATGTAATTAATTCTTTTTTCATCTCGATCTTTTGTTAACACTTTTATGAATTCGTCAGTTTTCCATTAGAGTTCTGAAAATGCTTATTCATTCAGTTCAGCAGTATAGTCAGTTACCAGAAACCTGTACTTGTCAGAGTCTTTGCCATGAATTCCTTGAAGATGAAACCCTTTTATAGGAACATTTTTGCAAAAGCATCAGAGTACACCCAGAACTGTCTGTAAATGACAAAAGACTTAAAAATGACCACGGTTAAAGATTTGATGAAAGTTCATAATAATGCAATTGACAATGAAATTTAGTTATTTCTGAGATATACATTTTAAAGTAATAACTAGAATTATGACTTATAACATTATACCAGAACATATAAGATTTTTAGGAATTTCATGTAATGTCTGAAACATTTATATTAACATATTTTCCATACAAATAACCCAAAGAAAGTTTAGTATTAGTTTTTTAAAAAATTTTTTAATTTAATTGTATTTATTTTTTTATACAGCAGGTTATTAGTCATCAATTTTATACACATCAGCGTGTACATGTCATTCCCAATCGCCCAATTCAGCACACCACCATCCCCCCACCCCACCCCGTGGCTTTTCCCCCTTGGTGTTTAACATTAGGTTAAACAGCAGATTTTAATATTTTTTACTGGGCACTCCTGGAAAATAGGTTCGTCGTATATTCATAGTCCCTGCCTTTAGGAGAGATGAAATGTGTGTACACACTTAAGTATTTTCTGTAAAACAGATAAAAAGTAAAAAGGCTGTAAGCGAAGGAAAAAATAAGGGACTATTGGGGATTGATTGTGAATCCTTCAAAACCCCCAACACTGTTGAATAACAAATAGAAGCTCAGGACCTGCTTTGAGAGAATTCTGGTAAGCTTAGGAGTCAGGTGGGTGTGTGTCCTTTGACCCCAGAGCATCGTCTTACCTGCTGATCTGTGTAGCTCTTCCCCAAATAGCTGCTCACCTGGCCTGTCACTCTCCATCCCTTTATCCTGCTTTATTTTCCTTCTTAGCCCATAGCAACACTTGACATACTATGTTTTGGTTTGTTTGATGCCTTTCTCCCTTCGCTAAACTCCTTGAAAGCAGGGACTTCGTCCATTTTGTTCCCTGCTCTATTCTCCAGTGCCTGGAGCAGTACTCAGCACAGAGGCGGCCCTCCAGAAATGTTTGCTGAATGTTTTGTGAATGAACGAATCTGTATGCTTTATCAGCAGTCAGATAGCACAGTGGCTAGGAGCAGAGGCTCAGGGCCAGGCAGCCTTGGGTTGCAGCTGGTGGTACCCATAGGGCAAGTCGCTCTACCTCTTTGTGCCTCATTTTCTCACATGTATGATGGGGATGGTGACCCACCTCCCAGTGTTCTTGTGTGGATTAAGTGAGTTATTACAAAGGAAGCTTTCAGAACTGAGCCCAGCCTGTACTAAGTACCATTCAACCCCTGTTGCCATTACTGTTACAATTACCATCCTCCCTTCCTGTTTGCATTTATGACTGTTTGCATTTCAGAATTACAAACTGAAACTTAGATTATGCAGAAATTTCCTTTAAAGAACCTTCAACATTTTTCTCCCTTTATGACTTTGATGCAGGTTCTCCACCTACGATTCTACCTGCCAAATTGCACAAGAGATTGCTGAGAAAATTCAACAACGAAATCAGTATGAAAGAAATGGTGAAAATACAACCAAGGTAAGACCAGGAATGAGTACTTCAAATAATTTGTTTGAGCTCTGAGGTCTGAAAACCCTCCCCTTTCTGACTCTGTGTGTATGTGTGTGTGTATGTATAATGGCCTTTATGCTTACACATGTCGAATTGACATTACAACCAATCAGTTAATAGTTATTTAATCACTAGGACTAAATGAAGCATGACATCTCTATAATTTCTCCTACTTTACCTTAAAAAGTTTCTAACAATTTCATAGCGTAGTTCCAAGGTTGGCACACTTTCCCCCAGATGGTAAATCTGTCAGGCTTTGCAGGACAAGAGGCCAAGTTCTCACCTCTTTGAGTACCCATTCTCGACAAAAGGATAATAAACTTTTTTGGTTTTTTACATTTTACATTTAAAAATGTAAAAAACAATGGTGGGATTTGGCGAGGAAATATGGTTTTTACAAAACCGTGAGTCCATGCCAATACTTTTGATTCTAATCCAACATTCACAGGTTTCTTTGTAACTTCCCCATTCTAAATTAGTATTTTCCTTCCTTCTCCTGCAGTGAGAACCCAGGTTTCCAGAAGCATTGATATGTTTTTGCTCATTTGGTCTCTCTTAGAGTTTATAGAAAGTAGTTTCAGAATCATTACATAAGGGCCACTACAGACAATAAGTAAAGTTTGAGTTTGTGTCTTTATTATTATTTTTTTTTAATTTAGAATATCCCCCTAAGGATACTGAGGTTATTCTGTTCTAAAGCTATTAGAATTGTTTCTTTTTTTTCTGTGTCTTATGCTCTCCTTTGTATCTATTGATATTCATTTTCAGGGTTTGCTTTTCTTCCCTACCCTTGCTGATACAATTTTTAATATGTAGAACATAGTTCAAAAGTCAATATTATATACAAAGGTATACTCAAAGTCTTGTCCCCATCCCACTCTTTTCCATGCCTTCTTCACCTGCTTCTTAGAGGTAACCTTTTTTTAAAATTAATTTCTCATTAATTCTTCCTGTGTGACTTCTTGCAGAAGTAGGCATTCAGGTGTGTGTGTGTGTGTGTGTGTGTGTGTATTCTCACTTCTGTTCCTTTGACACAAAAGTTACTCTTTTGTATCTTGCTCTTTTCACGTGATAATATATGATAGAGATATTAATGCACTGAGATCTTCTCAGTTTTTCTTAGGGCCTTATAGTCCTCTGTTGTGTATACTCTAGTTCATTAACCTGTCTCCTAAGAATGGGCATTTAGAGTGTTTCCAGTCTTTTGCTGTTATGAATAATGCTGCAATAAATAGCTTTGTGATTTTTTTTTTTTTGTATTTGTATTTGTGGAGGTTCTTTTAAGGGTGAATTCTCAGAACCAGAGCATATGTGATTTTTTTTTTACCTGTTGCCAAATTCCCCTCCACAGGAGTTGTCACCTTTGGCTTCACAGCCTGGCCAGCAGAGGGCGCTGTCAATTTTCTGAATTTTTGCCAACCCTATATAAGTGAGATAAAATAGTGTAGTTTTATTGTCTTCATTTTTTTAATTGAAGCATAATTGACTTACAATATTATATTAGTTTTGGGTATACAGCATAGTGATTTGATATTTCTTTTTTTTTTTTTTTTGCTGTCCGCGGGCCTCTCACTGTTGTGGCCTCTCCCGTTGCGGAGCACAGGCTCCGGACGCGCAGGCTCAGCGGCCATGGCTCACGGGCCCAGCCTCTCCGCGGCATGCGGGATATTCCCAGACTGGGGCACGAACCCGTGTCCCCTGCATCGGCAGGCGGACTCTCAACCAGTGCGCCACCAGGGAAGCCCAATATGCATTCTTAAAATCACTTATGCCATTGAACATCTTTTCATATATTTATTGGATGTTTGTATTTCTTCCTTTATGAATTGCCTGTTATATACATGTCCTTAACCTAGCTTATTATTTCTTAATTTCCAAGTGTTCCTTATATATATGTTAACTAAGCTTTGATTAAGCTTTGATCTGGCATATTTGGTACAAATATTTTTTCTATTAATTTGGATTTTGATTTTATAAATGACTTTAAAATATATGTATACACTTTTAAAAAATTTTATTTGAAATTATCACTTTTTATTTATGGCCTTTTCTTATAGGAGAAGGGGAGATACTGCTTAGAAAGGCCTTTCACACCCAGGGATTATAGAAGTACTTTGCCTAATAATCTAAATTTTCCTCTTTTTTATCTTTTTTTAAAACACATAAGTCTTTATAATATTTGAAATTCATTTCGTGTATTGTAGGCATCTAATTTTTTCCCATTTGCTAAATCATTAATCCCCCCCAAATATGAAATAGTCCATATTTCATTCACTAAGTTCTTACACAACTGCACTGTTTCTGGACCTTCTGTTCTGTTGCACTAATGAAGCCATTGGTAACTGCCAGCATCATACTCTTGTAGTTTTTTGTAAAGATTTAATATCTAATTGTTTAAGGCCCCCTTAGTTACACATATCCATGATCTTTCTATATTTCCCTTCATTTATCCTCCTTTTAGAGCAATTTTGCATAGCTTTATTGAAAAGAATTTTGGGGGGCTTCCCTGGTGGCGCAGTGGTTGAGAGTCCGCCTGCCGATGCAGGGGACACGGGTTTGTGCCCCGGTCCGGGAAGATCCCACATGCCGCGGAGTGGCTGGGCCTGTGAGCCATGGCCGCTGAGCCTGTGTGTCCGGAGCCTGTGCTCCGCAGCGGGAGAGGCCACAACAGTGAGAGGCCCGCGTACCGCAAAAAAAAAA